GGAACGAGGGCGCGGGTGCGGGCCGAGCTGGGGGGATCGCGAGGGCTCCTCCAGGCGGGAAGGACGCTGGGCGGATCTCGAGCGGGAGAAAAATCTGCCCCGGGAAGGGCGAAGCAGGAGGGCTGCCTGCTACGACCCAGAGCCGGGCCCATGTGGCCGGAATGCCGCCTTCCTAGAATGCTGGCCTTTGTACCTCCCCCTTTCTAAGGTGTCCTGCGAAGAGGAACAGTGTGTGGCCCGATGACCTCATCTCAGTGTATTTGAGGAATTTATTTGGTGCAGCCAGGCCTGTGGTTTGGCTGTTGCAGATGTACCTGCCACCCTTGCTCTTGGGCAACAAGGTGTCACTTTGCGTCCGCGGGAGTACTGTTCTTTAACACGCCTGGTTAGGGACTGTGTGCAGTTGGAAGAATTTGCGGTGGAGAGTGCGGGAGATGTGTTGCATTGATACATTGTTTATTTCAGTTTCTTGGTGCAGGGGTGAAGGGTCTGTTCTACTTTGCAGTGGGAACAGCTGGTTCTTGGGCAGCGCTGCATGTCAGCGCGCTGCGCTGCGGCGCACTGGGAGTAACAGACCAGACCGAAGGCTCTTGTGTGTCTACGCCTCTCTCTGGCGTGCCACTCCCTTGGCATGCCTTATAGTGAGCTTGTTAGAGGGGAAAAAAAAATCAGTTTTGGTGGATTTGCTATGGCTTATGAGTCAATCCTCTCAGAAAAGGGAGTTTGCTGGCTCTGAAGGAAGGGATAGTTGAGTTTTAGGCTTCCTAATAGAGAAACGATGAAACGCCTTGGAATAGAGTGCATTTTGTTGTACTCAATAGTGTGACAGGTTTTCAACATCTACAGCTTAACGGATATTTTTTAAAAATGCAAAATGGCAACATTGTGAGTATTGGTCATTAAAAAAGTGTAATGCTTTTGGGAACCAGCAGTTAGCGTAATGGCTATGTCGCTGGACTCCCACGTAGTCGACCGCGGTTCATGTCCCGGACCGGTGGCTTAAAACTCACGCCGGGCGCGTGTGCGTGCGTGCCGAAGATCCCGAGAGGAGAATGGAGGAGAAGGGATTGCGGCGTGACCATCCCCCCTGGGGGGTGATTTCTCGCTTTCTGTCTCTATGTCTCTCTCTGTCTGGCGAGCGCACGCGCCCTACAGTGAAAATCTCTCCAAAAAAAACAAAACAAAACAAAAGTGTAATGCTTTAATCCTAAATATTGAAGTTTTCTAAGTGTGCTTGCATGAGTAGTCACGACTAATAGTAATATTGAAATTCTTTTTTTCTCAGCTTTTTTTCTCCCAAAGCAAAACTAGGAGTTATATTATTGCATACACACACCCACACACACACACACACACCAGTTTTAATGGAGATTTATATCTCCTATTGTAAGAAATGGATTTTTGTATGAAAATATTGTAGACTTGTAAACCTATGTAAAAGTGCCTAGTAAGGGTAGGCCCCCAATAACTGTTAATACTGAAGAGTGGCAGTACGTCATTTAAATCCCTGCACTGGTTTCTATTGTAGTTGCTATTAATTGTTGAGATATTTCTTTTTAGGCATACAAAAGGACATAAAATATTATGACAAAATTAAGCAGTCAATTGTTATTTACTGTGTATTAAAAGGGGATGGCTTACTGTTGAGTGAACCCTTGGTAGTAATTGCAAAATTAAGCATAAATTTTTAAATTGTGTAATTTAAATGATCTCGATGATGTAACATTGTATTTACTTTTTATGGAATTTAATTTTATCAAGTTCTGAATTTTTCTGAGTGATATTAGCAAAGAAAACAAACTAGGATTATAATAGCTATATTGTGAGTGTGAAGAGTTTACAAGACAGATCAAAGTTGATGTATAAGAATGAAAGTGTAAAAAAGAAAAACTTAAGAATGGTTAGGATAAAATAGTTTATAAAATAAGTAATGATGTGGCCTATAGAAGGTGGAACATCCACCCCTGAATATTCTAAGAATATTTTCTAGATTTACTTTGAATCATAGACTCTTGCAGCCTTTTTTTTTTTGGCTATAGGGCATGTGCACTCGCCAGAAAGACAGAGAGGGACAGAGAGATAGAAAGCGAGAAATCACCCCCCAGGGGGAATGGCCACGCCACAGTCCCTTCTCCTCCATTTTCTTCTCAGGATCTTGGGCACGCAGGCACACGCACCCACCGGGTCTAAGACTCAAACTGCGGTCAACTACATGGGAGTTCAGCAACATAGCCATTATGCTAACTGCTGGTCCCTACTCTTGCAGCATTTTTGAGGTGCAAGAGACCTGGAGTCATATATTTTCCGTACAGAACAGATTAAGAGAAAAACAGTTCAAGTCTTATTGTCACTAAAGTTGAGGAATTGCTACTGTTACAGAACTGAAGCTCCCAAGTGGTAGAGTGAAATTCAGAGTTTGTTAAGGGAGAGAACCACATGCTATAGGTAAGGTTATTTCCCCCACTAAGAGAAGAACAATATGAAGATGAACATACGTAAAGGCTTTATAGAAATAACCAGTTTTTAATTTTTACTTATTTATTTTTTAGTTTTGCTATAGGGTGTGTGTGCTTGCCAGAGAGAACACACACAAAAAAAAAAACAAAGAGAGAAAGAAAAGAAAGAAAAGAAAGAGAAGACAGACTGCATCCTCTGGTGGGGATGACCATGCCATAGTTCCTTCCCCTCCAGTCTCCTCTGGAGGTCTTGGGCATGGACAGGTGCCCAGTGTGATTTCCAAGCTGCTGGATCTGGGACTTGAGCTGTATACTTGATCATGTGGATCCAGCACCTTAACTTCCAAGCCACCTGCTGGCCCAGAAATGACCGCTTTTGATGAGTCATTAATGCTTACGAGTGATTCTGAAAGTAAAGAAGGTTAGATTTCATTAGAAGTGTTATATTTGATTTTTACTTACAAACAGTGTAATGAAGTAAAAAACAACTCAATATGACTAAACCTGTGATTGATTCCATAACGAGTGAGTATAATTTTAGGCCTCCTAAGGGAGGGCTGGGGCCAACCACTGTGGACTTACCAAGAAAAGTTTTGGAGTCAACAGGTGTTTTTAATTCCTGGGCTTTACCTTTAACTAGCTCAGAACCTTGGACAGATTATTTTTCAGTGCTTCATGAGGGGCCTCGCATCCTTCATTTGCCTAAAATGTAAAATGACAATAATCATATCACCCTTACAGAATTGGTCACTCATTTACTCAAACGTAGATATGAGTACATCTACATATGAGTAAATGCTATATACATAGCCTTTGAAGTAATAACACTGAAGTGTAAGAATTAGTGACATTACACTAGTAATAACTGCAGAATAAATTTTCGTTTCCAAGTTCATTTAATAGGAGGCAAGTAACATGGAATGTAACTGTGTCTATACTAACTTGAGTACTTTTCTCTGTGAAATTGATAGGTAGTTAACTTGTGTTTTCCAAAGGACTTCTTAAAAATACAGCTGTCAATAAATTACCTTCTCTCTTTCCTTTAGTCAGAGAATACTTTTTTAAAAATAGATTTTAAGCTTGTGAGTGGAAGGAACCAGCTATCTTTTCATCGATTGGAAAGCATATTTTGTTAATGATAGAGAATGAGAATAAAGCTGCAGCAAGAACTTTTCACAGTAATGCATTCACTGTTTGCTGTTACTGATTGAGATTGATGAATAGTGAATGGTTTGTGAAGTGGGCAGTTGAGTGACATCTGTTTGGTAACACTGGCTCACTCTGGAAATGCTATGTTGTAACCAGAACAGGCTGACAGATTGTGCAAAAGAATCACCATTACAGTTTCATACCAAATATTTAACTGCACTTACGGTGTGGTTCTGGCTCTCCAACCTCCATTTTAACATTTGCTGAGTGGGTGCTATGTGCTGTCTCCCACAACATGCACCCTGCTTTCCTTAGAATGAGTTAGAAAATGAATATCCAGGTGTTTAAGGGACAGAACATTCATTAAAGGATGTGAAATATTATTGTCATGCCTGCCTCAGGTGCCTGGTGGACTTGCCAAGTTCAGATGAGGGCCCTCTGATCTTACTCTGTAAGAATCGGTGATCTGGTTATTCTCAACCCAGCCTGTAATCCACTACTGTTTGATAAAGCTTTTGGAAGGTGGGGAGGGGAATAGAGTGAGTTTTGAGGCTTAGTAGATTGGAATGAACAAAAAAGTAAGCAATTTCCAACTTTCTAATAATCCTAGGCTGCTGTTTATGTGACGGCAGACTATGGAAAGGTGCTACAGTACTGACTTGCACAGGCTGGGGAACATTAGCCATTTTGCCTGTGTTGCTCGGTGATAAATCACACATGGCAGCTACAGTCATTATTCAGCCATCTTGTGAGTATAAATATGAAAGAGAAAAATAAGTTTAGAGATTTCGTATACCAGAAAATGGTTACGGAAGAATGAAAGAACGGCTAAACGTTCTTAGACTTAAAGTAACATGGTAGTTTATTTTGATGTCTTAAAATGAAAATATTCAAGGGCTAGGCTAGATGAGTGCCATGTTGCTTTCTTTGTCATATTGGTGTACATCACTTCCTGGTTTATTGTCCGTCTGTTACACTGTATCTGGTAAAGGTTCTCCCAGAATTGATAGGAAGCAGACTTAATAAGATGGCACTTAACCTCAAAACAGTAATTCTGATTTGCTGAGTGATGTCTGAATGAATGTAACAGTTGTAAATAGCCCGGTAACTTATAAGACAGATAATGTGGAATTGAATATTTGGAGTGAAGGTGAAACTCACGTGGCATCAGGAAAGATGGGTGGGACATGGATAACTGGATACGAAGAGGATGATCTGGCTAGGATGAAATACCACGGTATTGAATGTGGATTGTTTAGAAGGATTAAGTACTTATTAGAAGGGGAAACAAAGTTTGGAGAGAGAAATGAGACCAGAATATAATTTTGAATCTTAAATGCTAAAAAAATTTATTATGGTGTTAATTGTTGCTTCTCCCACCGATTGGCTTGCTGGAAAGTAGAGTTTTTGAAAGCATTAATGGCAGAGAATTAGTTTAATTTTGTTGAGAACATCTTAAATGATCTTAAGACTGTATTGTAAGTAGCAAAATTTAAAAGTCTTAAATCTAATAAATATATTAACATAGCTAAACTGTACAGTAGCGTGTAAATCATTAGCCAACATATTAAAATGAATGAACTAATATTAGAATTTCACAATATGTCTCATTTATAATACCAGATACTTTTCAATTGCAGATTTAGTACCTCAAGACAAACTCTTATGTGGATTCCAGATTCTTTTTTTTCCAGGTATTTCATTTAATTCTTTAGAATTTTTTTAGTGCACTTGATTATTTACCAAAAATAATTTTCCTGTCCGTTAAATTAATATTTTTATTGTTTGAATAAAAAATGTTTACTCTTAAAATATAATTTTTTAAACTTGGAAATAGATAACTCACTCCTAGTAGTCTTTATATTTCATAAAGAATTAAGATATTTATTCATACAGATTTTAATAACTAACTCAAGCTTATTTATAATGACTTCCAGTTTGCTGAGTGGAAGAATTTCAACACTTCGAGATGAAACTGGTGCTGTGAGTATAATTACGCTTATATATATTTTAACATGAGAACTATCCTTATAATGCTGGGTCCTAATGTATAGTGACTCTAAGAAGTTAGGAAAGCTAGTATTTTAGTAACCACTAAATGAAGGTGGCCCAGTTTTTCAAAATATTCTTGTCATGTATAGAGTGCTTCTATAATTACATCATTGATGACATCATCCCATATGGACATGCCTGCTATTACTGCCTGTAGAGCCCTAACCAGGAAATACTACATGTAACAATTTACAGTATTTATTGATAGGGTTAGAGAGAGTGTGGGATATGTGTTTACACTGGCAAGAAAGATGATGATGATGATTGTTAAGGTTTTGTTTTTTTTTTTTCCATATAGCACATGTGCTTACTGTAAAGAGACAGAGAGGGGACAGTGAGAAATCATCCCCCAGGGGGGATGGCCATGCTGCAACCCCTTTTCCTCCAGTCTCCTCTTAGAATTTTGGGCACGCATGCACATGTGCCTGGCGTGATTTTCAAGCCACCAGTTCTACGCCTCAGACTGGAGTCCACTAGGTGGGAGTTCAGTGCCTTAACTACCACGCTGCCTGTTGGCTCGGAGAAATTCGGTCTTCAGTCAATAATTGAAAATATAGCAATAAATAGGAAATGTAAATATTACAGTAATTTCAAATTAGAAGGCTAGATTGCAAATTAGTATGGTCCTACAATTTATTTTGGAAACTTACAAATTTCTACAGCAGCGGTATAATGAAGGAAGTAAAAAACTAAGGTTTTAGTGCAAAAAAAATTGATTTATGCATTTTAAAAAGTTAGAAGAACCTTATTGATTGTATATACATAGTTGAGCCTAGTATGAAAACTTAGTATTGGCTACTGTTCTCCTGTCTAATTAAACTTTATCTAAACTTTAAAAGGTATTTGATTTTATGGTTAGACCTTTTGTAATTGATTCAAAATAGTGTTGGTATGCAATCCGATAAAAAATGATCAATTGTGCATTTTACATGTTTATGCATTTCCTTTTCCCCTTCTGTATTCTTTGGTGCTGTATTTGTTATTTTAAAAATGTTTTTGTTGTCACCCCTCCCCAGCTCTTGAGGAAGTTATAATGTGTGAATGTAAAAGTTTGATGAGAGCAAATATTTTTTCCAGTTTTGACAGCTATGTGTATTTACATTGTTTTATTACCCTGTGTTCACCGTATACTATAAAAGTGCAGTGTTTTAATGATTCACATAAAAATCACAAAGTTAAGTCACAACCACTGTGACCAATAATAAATGATTCAACAATATAAGTATTATTTATTCGTAATGTTTTCCAATATTTTTTAAATTTTATAGTGTTTCAGATATAACTGTTCCCTTAGGTGTCACTTTAGCCAAAGAGAGCTAATGGAAATTTTAAAACTGACTTACTAAATAAATTTTTCCCTATGTATTAAGAGAACATCAATTTAATAAAAACTTTTGGGGGAGAAAAGAGACTACCATATTAAATGCACATAGTTACAATTATGGCTGCATTTCAGTTTTCGAAACATTAAAATTTAAGACTGGAATCATGGAAATGCAGTATTTAAAACATTTGGTCTTTGTTCCTCTTTAGTTATGGGTATGAATAAGGTAGTTTAATTTGTAATTTGAAAATGAAATAATTCTTTGTTTACAGATATTTATTGATAGAGATCCAGCGGCATTTGCGCCTATTTTAAACTTTCTTCGGACAAAAGAACTCGACTTACGGTAAGAAATGCATCTTTTTAAAAATAAATTCTTACTGATATGTAAGTGGTTTCGGCACATTTTATGGGGAAAATGCCTTCTCTCAGTCTCTTTTTGATTAAAATTTTTCAGACATAAACTCTTAGCGATAAAACCACTATTATCTCTTCCTTTAAAGTACTCCAACTGTAGGACCAGGAGTTGGTGTAATGGTTATGTCTCTGGATTCCCAAGTAGCTGACCGTGGTTAGAGTCCTGGACCTGGGGGCTTAAACTCACACCAGGCACGTGTGCATGCATGCCCAAGATCCCGAGAGAATGGAGGAGAAGGGATTGCAGCGTGGCCATCCCCCACTGAGGGGTGATTCTCTCCTTTCTGTCTCTGTCTCTGTCTAGCGAGTGCACGCACCCTATAGAAAAAACCTCTCCACAAATATGTAAATCTGATATGGTTCCTATTCTGCTTAAAATTGAATGTCATATGTTATGGAACCCCAATGGATTAGCATTTTGAACTTGACCTTGTTTTGCCATAATCAAGTTAGTGCTTGCTTTTACTGTAACACTCTCAGAGCTTTGTGATCTTGGTTTAACCCGGACCTTCAGTGATCTTTACTGTGTGCACCTTCTGTAGCATTCATAGTTGTTTGTGCTGACATAACCACAGCATTTGTTACATTGAACTTCCTTTTAGTAGCCTATCTTCTGTTAGACTTTAAGTTCTAAAAAGATAACACTGTTTACTGAATAGCCCCAGGATCTGGCACTGTGAATGATGCAGGATAGTAGTTTATGACATGATTTGTGGATAAATGAATCACCATTTAAACTTTCTTAAACTTGGCCATCTTGAATGGTGTGTAGGTTCCTATCAGGAAGCTTTTTTTTCTTTTTTTTTTCATTTATTCTTGCTAAATCTTCACTAAAGATTTGTTAATATGTTTTTCAAGATACAGCTTTTAAAAATTTAGTTATTTGTTTTAGATGTTTCTTTATACTATTACATGGTTTCCTCTTATATTCATTAGAAGTTAAGCTTCTTGAGGTTAAACGGCTTTTATCTGGTTTGTTCCCTATTCCTTCCAGTTGTTAAAATAGTACATATAAAATACACACAATAGATGCTTATTTAATGAACAAGAGTTTGTGTGGGCTTTGTGTTTTTCTGGTTTGGGGTTTGGGATTAGTTGGAGGTGGGAAGTACATTGTTAACTACTTATTTCTTGAGTAAAAATTTTAA